ATGTTGATGTTCTGATAGCAATTCCTATCTAGAAGTATTACTTCCTGGCCACCTGAATTTTGCACATCATCAATGACGTCATGTCAAAATAACCTTTAGCAGTCCAAATTCAAAACATTGAAGAGTTTTTTTTTTCTGCCAAGGCAACCCGGGGTGCTGAAATATAATTGGGCGAACTGACAGTGGGTGGAGTTACACAGACCAAAACAATGACAAACAGTCCAAACGCACATTTTCAAAGGAGAATAACTGACTTTTTTCAGATAAACATGCATGTTCTCAGCATGTTACTTAAATATCTGCAAACAGTACTAGGCTTTGGCAGTGTTTCTCAACTGGTAACCCACTTTTGGGTCGCGGCTTGTGTGGTAAAAAAAACAACAAAAGTAAAAAAATGTTGCTTATTTTGTTAATATAAAACTTTTATTTTGAAATTCGTGCGCGACAACCCTACCGTTTGACATGTGAAATTTCATTTAATCATAGCAACAAATATGTCGAAGCGCATGTACGACCCTGAATATTTAAAGTATATATTTACATATATTGACGACAAAAAAGGCTTAAAGCCTCAGTGTCATATGAAGTGAGGTGCTCTCATAAGAGAGCATAAGAGAGCATGAAACCTTCTAAATTAAAACGACATTTAGAAACCAGAAATGTTTTATTAACAGTTCAGTTTAGTTCATGGTAACTGAACCTTTCCTTACCCTAACCACTGTTTACAGCATTTGTCGTTTTTACTTTGTAATGTTTCTATAATTTGATCTATTTTTTTAAATGACAGCAATAAATACTTATTTGTAAGTCTTGGTAAAAGTCTTATGATTTATCTGTCACTACTTGTGTATGTTAACAAATAAATACAAATTAATTATTATTCCTAAAATTGTATTATAGTTCCTAAAATTTGGGTCGCGGCTTGATGACTGTAAAAATCTAGGTCCCATGGCCAAACCAGTTGAGAACTCATAGCTATGTTTTTTTTATGATTTAGTAGTGTCAATAACTTACAAACAGCACCTTGAAACATTATTTAAAACTTATTCTATCTACTTTTCCTTATTCTACTTACGTTCCCTATCTCAGTGAATGGAATCAGAGCTGGGCAGAGAAGGAAGTGTTTGAAAAGACTGGCTATGATCATACAGTATGCAAAGTAATGTTACTAAGTAGGACAACTGTCACCGAGTTTGTTGTTATGCTAGCATTCTTCATCCCTCGGGCTCTCTCGGTCTGATAGTTACCTGATGTAGAAATGTGATATCCTATTTAGCAAATAGCCCATCATGTTTATTTTTTCCTCTGCGGGTTTCAAGGTAGAGAGCTGATTATGAGTGTTTACATTTACAGTAAACGCTGCAAATAGTGCTTCATTTTCTAAATCAAAATGGGTTTCTTTAGAGCAGAGCAGAAAATGGATCTGCAATGTTTTAGAGCACTTGATGTTAACCTACTGTCCAGATGAAGCCATACAAATTGGGAAACATGATCAAAATTGGTAGTAAATAAGTAAGAAGTTTGCAAAACATCCATGCTTCATAAATGAAAGAATGTAAGACAACGATAAAACTATGGGTGCGCTTCATATGTTCTCACATCAGAAAAATAAAATGGAAATAAAAAAACAACTAATGATGATTCAAGCTAGCTATTCTTGATTTATCAGTGCATCAAGAGCATTTAAAGTATAAAAGGGGTAGTGCATAAATATACTGTTGGCCCATCAAAAATACAAGCACAAAAATAACCCGCAGGAGAGGAGAGGAGGAAATGCGGGCACTGGCTGTGCGACCATTAAATATGACTCATTTGCACCACTTATGCGGGTGGAAAATCTAAAAAAATATCTGTAGACCTTTCATTTAGTGTTTTTTAACGTCATTGTGCATGTTCGTTTTTTTTAGCATTGTATTTTGTTATTCCTATTTACTGCAATGCTCTCTATGGATCATAACTGCACACATTTTTTATCCCACAGAACTGTTTTAAGGACAGATAAGGCACAGATAAATGCAGAATCAGTGCTTTACCTGCAGGAATGGTAAGGTTGTACGAACTGTAACATTTTATACAACCCTGTGGTGATGATCTGGGTCATCTTGCTTATGTAACATGCTTATATGCTTATTTGTAGAGATGTGATTATTCCCTTAACTGTAAGGTTTACCCTAATGACAAACCATCTGTGAAGTCCAACATAAAGAAAAAAAAACTAAAGATGGAGCACAGTCTGATCTGCATACTGCAAAATGGGAATCACAAATCAAAACAAAAGTCTAAATTGGAGAACAACAAAATATTGAGGAAAAGTTGGTTTTATATTTACACGTTCGTTCAGTGACAACTTATGGCATTCTCCCTACATTGTTTACCATGTTACTTTGAATAATTAGGCCTGAAATTACATATAAATATGACTTCAATACAACATTAGCACTATTTATTTGACTGTGAACAGTTGTATTTTGATAGACATTGGCTGCTAATATGATTTCTCCATTTAGAATTTGCAAAGAATCCTTTAATATAAAACCAACTTTACCTCAATCAACAAAATGGCTCCAAAAATCTTTGGCTCATTCTGGGCTAGCTTGAATACTATAACAGGCCTTCAGCATGTACACCGAAATAGCAGCAAGTTTACCCTGGAGGCATTTAAAATCATGAACCGAGTGAAAAACCTGTTGAGTGATGTTGAAAACGCTTTCCTTTCAAAATGAGTAATTAACAGCAGTGGGCCTGATCATTTCTGTGGACATTTGCTTGATGCCTGTGTGGAAGAACTGTATTTTTATAAGTTTGTACCTACTTTTTTGAAAGTCTTTCCAGCAGGAACCTAAGTTGTGAAAAGATTACGTGGTTGTCGCAAGTTCAGTAGAGTCCCAATATCCTTAATGAATTCAGAGTAGCTGGTACAGCACTGCACTGCCACCTCCTGGTTATACTTGATAAGACAAGAATAATTATGTAAACATGTTGGCGATATCAAAATCTGATTCACCATGAGATTACATCTGCGTTTCATCCCTCTGCCCTAATCCCTTAGAATGGTTTACCTTCTAGTCTCTAGAGTGACGACTTTGAAGGGATGCATGCCTATAGGGGATAAAAAAAGATTTTGACTGCATCTGCGTCACAAATATAACGTGGAAGAAACATGGGGGGTGCTTACCACTTTCTCCTTCATTCCCAAGAGTCATCTGAAGTTTGAGTTAATATTTTTAGGAGATTGCTCATGAGAATCCCTACTTTGGAACAAATATGTGCCCTTGATGTGCACTTGGCATTTAAAGTGGTATTATGTTAGAAAGTAGCAGACAAAAGGAAGATGTTTAGGGCAGATTGTCAAGCCTGCTTCTAGAGCAGGGGTTCCCAAACTTTTCAGCCCGCGACCACCAAAATAACAATGTCAGTGACTCGCGACCCCCATTTTTCAAGGTGGTTATACTGTAAATGTATAAACTTTGTAGACACAACTATAGGCATGTATAAACATAAGCACATTGACAACACATAAATGCAACAGTCTAATAAACATATATATTTTTTATATTCATTTATTAATTTATAATATAAAAAGTAAAGGCTGATGACTGATTTTTATTTATTTATAATAGATAATAATAATATAATAATAATTTTGTTTCATTTATTTGTATGTTGTTGTTTATTTAGCACAACTATTAACCTCTGTGGGTTATGAGTAAAATATGGTCATTCAAATAGTTCAATAAAACTTATTTGAGTTTTGGAGATCACCAAGCACCTTGTCATTGTTACTTGACCCCCCAGGGGGTTCCGACCCCCACTTTGAGAACCACTGTTCTAGAGGGCCATTGCCTTGCAGAGTTCCCCCCTAATGACAGTCTTGGAGGGCCATATATCACTCTGAAGGTCACCATGGCTGCCATATTGAAGCGTTGTTCCAAACTGAAGTGCTAAAAACTGGTCACTTCGAAGGGCTCTTCGGAATAAAGGATTTAAAAAAATAAAACTAATTTACACTTCGGGCCACATTTCTTTAAACAGGGAAGTTGTTATAATGCTTAGCTGTATTGAATTAAGGACCAGACAGTGCAGAACAGAGACACTCTGGGTACAATTCTGGACACCCCGGTTTGGACCATTGTTTTCATGCTTAAGTCCTCTTCATGGGTGGATTTACTCTGTATGGAATGTAGCATATGGTTCCTTGTCAAGATTAAGGCCCAGATATACTTCAAATGAAATTGAAGAATGAACTGAAATGACATAATTTCAGACAAAATCCAGTTAAAACGAAGGCTGTGTTGAATACGTTGAAGCAGTTTGTAACAACTGACTGAACCTAACTGTTTTATGGTGTTTGTTTTGGCTCCTTATGGGTTGCATATAGGGAGGTTTGGCTCTTGATTATTGCCACCCTTCGTAAAAAAAGATTGAAAATGCGTAAGAAATACCTTTACAGGATGATAACGGGATAGAACTGTAAAATACGGGAGAATCCTGGGAAAAACTGGAGGCTTGACAGGTATGGCAAACATCAATACCCATGATCACTCTCAGATATATTTTAAAGACTCGGACACTAGACAAGAAGGCGTTGCGCCATGTCTTTTAAAGTTCGAAACTAGGAACTTACTCATTGTAAACTAGGAATTTATTGGAGAGGAATAGTTGAAATCATTCATGCTACCATAACTTTTTGGCCTCAAATGTAGAATGAAAAAAAATGTCAGGACCTTTAGAGTGGGCTTTTTAAAAAAGGGACCAATCAGGAAGAAGATTTCAAACTGCAAGTGCCAATCAGAAGCAAAGGAGTCAATATATTAATATTTCAATAAGACCCATATATTGTGAAACTATAAGTCTTTTTAGCTTGTTAAACTGCTATAACATCTCAACCTCCCCAACCTGCATTATTTTCAGAAGATGAGCTCCTGTGTTTACAAATCACACCAAACTTCATTTAAAACAGTGCAAAGGTGTAGACAAAAAACAGACCACACACAAAGTTATTTGGATAAAACTGCAAATATAAATTAGGAAGATTTATTTAAGGTTAATAAGTATTTCCACAGTATGAACATACACAGTTTCAAAAAGGCAGAGGATAAAAGTATGGCATTTTTACAGTTTTCGTTTTTAAATACAGTCAATTTCACTAAAAGGAAACCATGGCTGAAGGTGCAGTGATTGTATTTCACATGGAAGGGCGTTTCTGGTGTTTAAAATACACTTGGAGTGAGTAACATGTCCAGCTTTATCTTTACCAGTGTACAAAATACCATAAAAATCAAATCTCATTCTTAGCAAGACAAAATCTGCTACATTTATCACTTAGCAGGGGTGCTTTGAGTTATAATGCCTTATTTATGTGCCTAAGCACACCAAAGCCCCTAGAGAAAGGATCATGGGTAGTTTGATATCCTTTTCGAAATAACGAGTTACATTATTGCAGTTCTTTCTTCACAATTCAAGTAGAATAATATTTCTCTGTGTGTTGGATGAACAGTGATCTTTAATACTGGGTTGCTGGTGACCTATGAAGAAAAGGGAACGAAGACAGCAAGCAGGGAACGGTTGGATATGTAAAGGAAACGGCATTAAACAGCTGGTCAAAACTAGCCGTGGCATTTCAAGGGAATGTTGACGTGCTCCATGAAAATCACCCCCTTTTTGGCGGGCACCTTGATGTAAAGCAACATCCAAAAAACACATCAAAATGCAAATCAATTTGATGTCAAGACCTTGACGTCAATACATTGATGAAATTTCGACCACCAAAATAACGACACAAAAAATATGAAACTATATGAAATATGTTACTCATTTGAAGGCTTCAACTACAAATGTATGATTCTGTTTTTCTACATTGCATGTAAGCTACCTTGATGTTCAAACGACAACGTTTAAGCATTAAAAAACACATCAAAAATCGATTACAGGACTGTAATACCGGATGTGTTTTTTGACACCAATGTTAGATGTCAATTTGACATCAAGGTAGTGGATTGACATCAAATGGATTTGCAATTTTGGCATGGGTGCCCTCCGGGTTGTAGCCATTACGAAGAACAATATACGAGGCATTAAGTCACAAATCCCTGAATAAAAAGGAAGATATGAAGCACGAGCAAACAAACTGACCACCATTTTGTGTTCCAACCAAAAACATCAGCTAAATGAACACGTAGCTGCCTGATGTCTGTCAGTATGAAGCCTCTATAAATACATGAGCTGTACAGTTGGCATCTTCGAATGTCCCTCAGCTTGATCTTGCATTGATATTTCAAGTGGCTTGAAACATCAAGAAGCTCTTCAGTTCTGGCTTTCTTTCAGTAGGATTGTCAGTGCATCATGTCCGTGAAAGCTCGGACTCAGTAAGCGTCTGCCTTATTCTGGCACAAGTCTAAAAATAACAGCATTACAGCTTGCATATTCCCTCTCCGCTCAGAAGATGTCACTGTTGCAGCTGTTTTTAAAATCGTCTCTTCGAACCCAAATAACCTCACAGTCCCTCTCCGAAGAAACACCCTCCACTGCGCATTGCTTTCTCAGAAGGGTCAGTTTCAAGGGGGCGTGAGATTTCTTCGATTTGTCCTCGGAGAGCCCGTTGAGACCCTTGTCTTCATCTCCTTCCACTGAAAGAGCCTCGAAGGACTCCTCCAGGCTTGGGTCAGAGGATGGGGCCCGGACGGACTGGCAGTACTCATCGTCATCACTGAGGATGTCCGTCTCTTTAACGTCGTCCTGGTTCTCGTAGATCTGAAGGTCAAACTGATCCTCCACCCAGCGGTCGGTGTCCCGGATGGGCTGCTGGGGTTTATGGAATGGGGGTTCTGTGGGGGTGATTGGTGATAGATCCTGGGATGAGTCGTCATCAAAAATAACACCTGTGTCTATGGTGATACGATTACGAATCAGCTTCCTTTGACCCAGGGTTCGAGATGGTGCTGAAACTGTGGATGAGTAGAAAGAACTGATGTGAATGCTAACTACAATTCGGTAGACAGTTTTGTCCTTTAGGAAAGAAAGCAGCAATATCTGATGGACACTAGGATTTTTTTTTTGGTTGGGGGGGGGGTTACATAATAAACAGCTCAGCCTAAAGACTGAGATAAAAACTGCGCAATTAATCATGTTAGAGACTGAAAAGCGAAGAGCCAAACGATGAGATAGTTTGAGGAATAAAGGGAAGTGTTAAAGAGAAAAGTAATCCTACAGTTTGCATGAGACGTCGCAAACTTACCAGCTCTGTTCATGGTGGGTCGTGAACCCTTTAGCGCACAAAGCCGCTTCCCTCCAAAGGGAATATACTGCTGATTTGGAGGTAAACTTTCGGTCTTCATAAGCTGGCGCCGTTGTTTGTCCCTCAGGATGGAATGAACAGTCTTTAAGAAGTCTTTTTTACTCTCTGGAGAGCTAAAAAAAAAAAGCATGTTTAAAATTTTTGCTCTAGAAGAGAATGGAATATACCCAAGTAATGGCCTAAAAAAAGTATTTGGACCCTTAAGCAATAAATGTGTGTATTATATAAGATCCTCGAGTTGGTGTGGGTTTCCTCTGGGTGCTCCGGTTTCCCCCACAAGTCCAAACACATGCACTATAGGTGAATTGAATCAGCTAAATTGGCCATATGTGTGAATGTGAGAGTGTATGGGTGTTTCCCGGTGTTGGGTTGTGGCTGGAAGGGCATCCGCTGCGTAAAACGTATGGTGGATAAATTGGCGGATCATTCCGCTGTGGCAACCCCTGATTATTAAAGGGACTAAGCCGAAAAAAAATGAATGAATGAATATTATATAAGAAATGATCGCACAAGCACACTTTTCAAACAAAACATTTCACAAAAGTGACATTTAAGTTAAGAAAAGTTCCAGCATGTGTTTCACTTTTTTTGTTTATTTTGTTTGTCTGTAAATTCGTTCATTTTCTTTTCAGCTTAGTCCCTTCATTTATCTGGGGTCGCCACAGCAGAATGAATCGCCAACCTATCCAGCATATTTTTTACACAGCAGATACCCTTCCAGCTGCAACCCATCACTGGGAAACACCCATACACTACGGACAATTTAGCTTACCCAATTCACTTATAGCGCATGTCTTTGGACTTGTGGGGGAAGCTGGAGCAACCAGAGGAAACCCATGCAAACACAGGGAGAACATGCAAACTCCAAACAGAATTGCCAACTGACCCAGCCAGGACTTGAACCAGCGACCTTCTTGCTGTGAAACGACAGTGCTGCCACTGAGCCACTGTGTCGCCCCATTATTTTAATTAAATTTAATTAAAAATTTAATTTTTATGCACATTTTAGTATTCTTTTCGAACTATTACAATTTTATTTATATTTTATTTGTTGGTTTGTTTCTCTTTATACTCAAAGTTTAACATAAAATGTTTGCTTATTTTATACTTATTTATATAAAATATTATTTTTCACTAAACTTATTTATTGATTTCAAACTAATGTTGTCAGAATGTCCAAATACAGTTTTGCTGATATTCTAGTTATATTTCTTAATCTTCACATCAAAGGCATATAAAAACAATAATGAAAAGCATGAAAGTAGGTCTGAAACCTGAGGGATTCCTGTGTCTGCTTTGAAAATCCATTCACCCAAAACTTGAAAAAGAAGTGTTTTTTGTAGCGCACAACATAAAGCTACAACATTACCCTCTGTGCATGCATGCATTATTTAGATGTGAATAAACCATAAGAAGATTTCTCTTCGTTTATCAACTTTTTGAAGCATGAAAATATGAGGTAAATGGACTTTCAGTGAATAATTGAATATAATTGAAATATAATTGAATGAACTCACATGTGAATGAGCATTTGACAAATTTAATTTCATCACTTTCCTTATGTCAGGTCTGCAAAACTCACAGATAAGTTAATGCATGTGTCATTTACAAGCGCATCTCACCTGCAACAGATGTGGAAAGTCCTCTCAGGTCTCCCTTCAAATTCTGACCTCACGTGAACGATCTCACACATTGCAGAGCCCTCGGAATCTAAAACCAAACAAAGTCAGGTTAACTGTGAGCTAACAAAAGAACTGTGGGAAAGCATTTTCAGGATCAGTGCACGGCTAATGAACCTCAGGGAAGACAAACCCTGGGACAGTGAACCAGAGTGCAGACCCCAAGTTCCTGTAGGACAACTTTTGACCCCCCCTCCATCAATAGGGAATAGCAACATTCTGGCAAGAGCACATTTAACAGCCAAAAGCAGTCTTATCGAGTGTCATCAAGGCTTTTATTATGTTAAATACATTATGCTCTTTCTTAAAGCATGAATAGAGCTGTGGGAAAAGAATTAGAACAGTACACCAATACTTACTTGGGAGATTGCGAACTTGGAGGGCATCTGTAGAGATCATGTGTCTAAAACGAAATGGGTCTCTCTCATCAAGGGTTGACACTCTGTGAGGTCCACCCTGAGACAAAATAACACCAAAAAATGGGTTTGTAAGAAATAAATGGCATTAACATTCTAATACAGTGGCATTGTTGGAATCACTTTAGGAATGGTTTTGTTGTCTTTTTCAAACGGTTAGATGGTAAATATTTTATCAGCTAATCAGAATAGTTTAAAATGGCAGATGAGAAATAATGTAGTGAGTACTTGTAGTGTTGGTGTGGAATGACCTAGAGTTATAGTTTTTTTGGGGGTGAACATAGGGGCTGTATAGGAATATTTCATCCAAAATATAAATCTTTGCTGTTAATGTACACACCCTCAGGCCATTCAACATGCAAACGATGACTATAGGTACTTCTTTGAGAGACAAAAAAAAGGTAAAACTAAATTAATACAGTGACAATACACTGAAGTTTCTAAAGCTATTATTACATCAAATCAGCAGCATCTTTAGGCTATATAAGAATTCGTGTATCAACAGGAGGCAAAGGTATTTATTTAGATTTCTTGAATAAGCTTTTTTGACTCTATGGTCTGCTACACCCTAAAGACTGGTTTATACTTCTGCGTCGAGTGACCGGCGTGACCCACGGCGCAAGCCTTGCGCATAGCCGTGCATTTATACTTCTGCATGCTGTTTGTGTTGCTCTGCAATAATACTTCTGAAACGCTAGCTGGCAGTAGGTTTTCATGTTCCTTTGTGTTGAGTTTCTTCGTGGGTATTTCGTTTTTTCTGAATGCTACAAGTAGCTAAAACTAGCTCATTCAGAGGCAGGAACTGGCATACGTGCAACAACTTTAATTATAAGGTAAACCCGAAACAGAAGTTTCCATCTGGAGTTGCTTCATGGCACTCAACACAGTAAACACTCGCTTCATCTGACTCACGGCTCTCAGCACCGCCCATGCTCATCACCGGTACTATAGTTATAGTTTTTTGGGGGTGAACAAAGGGGTTGTATAGGAATATTTCAGCCAAAATCTAAATTTGCTGGTAATTTACACACCCTCAGGTCATTCAACATGCTAATTATGACTATAGGCACTTACTTTGAGAGTCAAAAACCATATACAGTCATAACAAAAAAAATGTTGTCACATTTTGACGTGTAGTTACATTTTTTAAGAGGTGCACGTCGGGGTCAGCCAAGGCGAGGGCTATGCGACCGCTTGACGCAGAAGTATTAATCAGTCGTAAGCCAATGGCAAACAACTAGCACCTCTAAACCCAACTGTGCTGTCACCTTGCTTTGGCTCTCATTTTGTTCTATCTGGATCAAAAAGCTGTCCCTGAATGGAATGGAACGTGTCATTGAAAACAAAAAATCAGACTCCTGCCTCTCGTGGTGCAGAAAGATGGAACCAGACATCAGACACCCCAATTCTCGTGATTTCCAGAATATTATCATTTGCTTGCGGGCATCAGGGAGTTTCTATGTATTTGCCTATTGTTAGTTTGTTTATACGTCACGCACCCCTCTCCACCGCATCCCTCCCAGCTCTATAGATACGTCATGCACAATCCCCCATCCCTCTCCCACAACCTTTCGCAAATCATCTCTGTCTCCTCTGGAAATTAGTTTCCCCAACTTGGTATGTTTGAGACATGAGCCGATGCAAGCTCACATCACAGTTGGGTTTCGTCTGTGTTAGTTGTTTGGTTGTTGGTTGGTGTGTACAGGCCCTAAAAGTGCCGCTAACTTGAATTGTTTTCAATCAGCCATGACCATGGTTTGATCTAAAAACTTCTGTAATTTTCTACTGCACAAAAAAATCATCTACATCTTGGATAGCCTGGGAGCGAGTAATTTTCAATAACCCTTTGATGCACAAGCTATCCAAAACCTCTCTAAACCACAATATGGTGTCTTAAATGTCCAATGTTAATTCCTTATGTTATTTTACTAATGGATGAATGATACTTTGTAAAATGTGTGAAAAAATGTATTTTCCAATTAATTATTTGTTAAAAATATTGTTTTTAATTTACACATATCATTATTACATTGATAAATCCTTGTTTTTGTATTTATACATCAATATAGATGACGAATATCAAAGACAAAGCAAAAAATGGAATAATGAATTAGTAATCTGTATCTTGCAAAGCACTAAGAACTCAGACGGGTCACTTAAGGTCTGTGTTGTGCATCAAAGGTTAAAATGTTTAATGATGGGCACTGGAAAAGGGAAGTAAGGTCAGAGACCCTCATTATAGATTTATAGGCAGGCGTTTTATATGCAGTATAAACACTAAATTGTGAGAGGCAACATCACAGACAACTGAAAGGTCTCTGGCCACAGAGTTTTGTTGGCCATCCGAACTAAGTCGATGAGACAGCAGAAACAAATCAAGTACAAGAGAAGGGCATCCCTTTTTTACACTCGAAAATGGAGCCTTCAATAAAAAAGTAGAACTACACCTCTTAAAAGCGCTAGTCTGCAAGCACTTTAAGCTTGTGTGTCACATCTCTATTAATGAATAATGAAGAAAAGGGGGAAAGGCACTTACGATTTTTTTCTTTTGCTTGGAGCAGTCCTTACACACAAAAACAACCGCTGTTCTGAAAACTGAAGAAGAGAAAAAAAAAAAAAAACATTCAAGCAACACACAAAACCACACAAGTCTAAACATTCACAATACAGATGCTTGCTTAGGGCTTTTTTTTAGTTTAAAACGTGACCTGGTGAAATACAACTAACTTGAATGGCAAACTGACCCATTTTTTGCTCTAAAATGTCTCAGCCAAAGGAAAAAAATTACTTTGAACGCATATAAATGCAACTTTAATGCCTTAAGAGCCATGAGACAAGGTGGTTCCTCTAATGCCATTGTGCCCAAAGACACAGCTGGCCTTTACTGATGTAGAAAACCATTACTGCAGGGAACAGGCTACTGAATAAGAGAACAGCATTCTATTTCGGGAAGAAACGCTTCTTGTGTACGCACCAAAGGCAGCCAGCTCTGGGTCTCTCTTCCCCTTCATCAAAGAGGACGGTGGGTTAATCCAGACCACTGTGTCATACAACAAGAGGTCGCCCATTGACAGATCAGCAACCTGGCGTCAAAGTAAACAGTCAATGTCAGTGTTAATTCAGAAGCATCAAGCAATATAGTTTAAAGATTGTGAATTTGAGACCAGCGTCATCATACCTCTTTCTTTTCTGAGCTCTGTTCACTGATGAGTTGGTCAAACACGGCTCCGTATTCCTCGTGAATCTTCTGCATCTCGTTTATGTGACTGGCCACTTTGTTCATGGCTTTCATCGCCACTATAAAAAGACAAAAGACTTAATGATCTGCAATTAAAGACAATTACATATCAAAGTCCAAAGCTGCAAAGCCCAGATGGGAATGGGCTAATTTTCTCAATTGTTTCCTTTAGATATTGCACAAGCAGTTTTTTGCTACTGAAGAAACTATATATATATATTATTATTTTTTTTTTTTCCCACGAAGGGTTGGACTTAAATTGCACAGGGCTGCAGCTCTCCAGTAAGTAAGATTGACACACTTGTTTTAATGTTTTATTTTATTATGAGTTTTGCATTGAGGATTGCTGGAGAATTTCACACACGCTACGTTAATGAACTACAACTCCCAGCACGCAACTTGCACACACCAGTTCCTGATTCTTACTGATTACACACACAGTCAGAAGATCATTATGGACTGATTTAAAGAACTATAAATATAATAATATGAAAGGCAATGGCTACCAGTTTCCAACATACTTGAAATCATCAAGAATTTTAAAGTAGATGCTGAGTAAATTATAATTTTTGGGTAAAGTAAACCTTTATGACAAAGGGGGGAAATTATCATCATTATTAAATTATTATTAGTGATCAATGATGAATAATTACATTATTAAATCATTTTAAATTATATTTATATCATTACAATTGTAATATTTTTTTTTGATAAATTAAAAAGAACAGTTTTAGTTTACTTAATATGAATTTATTAAGCAGACACTTTTATTCAAAGCAATAGATGTAATTTAATAACAAATCACTCAAATTTTACAAAGGAAGTTATGGAACTCCCTGCCTTTTCACATTTACCAGGTGGACTTTTTTTTCTAATTTATAATCTCAGATAAAAACTTTTTTTGTTTAGGATAGCTTTTAATGATTTGCTGGTTTAATATTTTGTTGGTTGTTAGTTTCACTGCTTGTTTTTTATTATCTGCTTGCGCTTTACTGTAAGGTGTCCTTGAGTGCTTTGAAAGGCGCCTATAAGTATTATTATTATTACAATATTATTATTTAATTTGCCTTTACATATATTTGTTAAGCAGACACTGTATCCAAATCAATAAATATAATGTTTGAAAACAACAACAACAGCTAAAACAAAAACAGTTTACTGCAAAAATTCTATACTATTATTTATAGTAGCCTTAACTGAAAACCCACATGTAAATGATCATGTATAAATGAACACAGTGTTTCAATAATAATAAAAAAAAACACAACATACAAATAAAAGAAATAACTGTAGTCTTTATCATATATAAAATTTGTTTTTTATTAGTTGGGCAACCCTACTAATGACCCAGTTATATTAATAGTGCAAAACAAACTATACTGTAGTTTACACTAAATGGTCTGAGTAAACTGGAAATAGACATATTTCAAAGAAGCAAGCGAAATCCAGTTTTTCATGACACAGTCCTTTTAAAACCAGCTCATCTTGCTCAGAATAGTAGAGATCTGAATAGATCCACCAACAGCCTAGCGTTATGGTCAATGTATGTGAATCTCCATATTTACCATCCAGGTGGTAGTGCTCCTCGCTGTCGGGGTCGGTGAGCGAGTAAAGCTCCCTCAGGAGCAGTGGGTATTTTAGGACTCTCTGAATAGGTTTGATCAGGTAGGACTCCAGCGTGGAGGAATGCTGCTGTCTGGGGTTCCTCTCAGCCAGAAATGCCTTGAACTCTGGGTCTGTTTTAGCTGCATCAAAGTATGAAGAAGGAATTACGGGATGGCTCAGGAATTTCAAATCAGTTTAATACTTTTCTTCACTTAAATATACTGGTGATCAAGAGCTTCTTAGCTTTCTCAACAGCCTTTCATTTAGGGAAAGGTTTATAGTTAAACAGACTTAACCATAAAAATACCAGTCAGTCACTTTGTTGCCTTAGGGAATTACTTTTTTTTTTTTTTTTTAGTAGACCCTTAAAAATGAGCATCATCTTTCAGTAAATGGCTTTAGGGTGCATAATTTCTTTGTCAGAGAGTAAAAACACCCCCTCTAGCTTTTTCTAATGAACTCTGAAAACTAGCTTTTGGCAGATGATAATGGTTCAGAAATAGAACAAAGAAAATTTAAATTTTCCAGTCACTGAACACTGAAATCACAACTAAAATACCTCAAGGAACCTAGCAGTGCTAATGATAGCACACCAGTCTCAGAGAGTGCAGTTCCATTACCTTTGGTAAGGACCTTGGGGACTTTTGTGTGACTGGCACAAAATGCACTGTAGATCTTAAAACGGTCCGCATAGTAGAGGAAAGATCCGCCAAGAGAAAACAGAACTTTCTGAAGGTTTAATAAGAATGAATTAGAAAACACAGAAAGATAAGTATTATAAAAGTGTTAAATCAGTAGACAAAAATGAGTTTTTAAATATGATCAGCACCAAAACAGATTTAGCAATTCAGTGACTAAAATAAACTGTACCTTGAACTGATCGACTCTCTCCAGTTTGTCTAAATCTGGAACTAATCTGGTTCCATCTTCTAGAGTTTTTAGAAACTCCACTTGGAATTCCACCATCTCCGCCAAGTTTCCAAACAGCACGTCCAGCTACGAGTGTAGAAAAAAATAATCTTAGTGGATTTTTATTAATTAAACCTGCACCTATTTATTTAAGAAAAAAAATCTATGTAATATAAACATTTAGATTATTTCTTGATTAAAAATTCTAAAATAAAAGTATAGAGAATTATTGTGTCTGACCTCATCCTGGGTGAGGAAGCTCTCCTTCTGCAGGGGGTTCAGGTAGCGCTCTATTAAAATGTTCAGGTCCTGTGGAGAGACAGTGGAAAAGAGGCACAGTTTTTTGATCCAGTAGTTTTAGTATTAATATAGTTTTAGTAGCAAAGTATTATTGTTGTGTATGGAAATCAGGACTACACAATACTGAAAACAAACTGACACTGTAATATTTTTTCTGTGATATATAAAGTACTAAGTTGAATATTTATGTACGTATATTGTAAGGTATAGTTATTCAGTGGTGTAAAGTAACAAATTACAAATAATCAAAGTGTAATTAAGTAGTTTTTCTCAAAGATTGTAATTTACTAAGTAGTTTTAAAAATGTTTACTTTTACTTTTCTTTGAGTGCATTTATAGTGCAGTAGTGGTACTTTTACTCCACTATTTTCCTTTAAACGGCAGTCCCTACTTTATTTTTTCTTGTCTATGGGGATTGTGTCTTGTGATTCCTGTCCAATTAAATTGCACATAGAAGGTAAATCACATCCTAATGAACTACAGTACATCAAAACATGGGTGATTTATAATTGGAGCAAATTGTTTGGAAGAATTAAATGTGTCCGAGATGATTTCCAAAATCTTTGCACGCATTGACCTAGAGACTGTTTAGATGCATGTCACTGATGTGTAAATAAAGGATGTTTACTTTTTAATGACCGGAATGGCCATAAACACCCAGCAGGCACAAGATGTCAACATGATGTCAGATTGACGTCAAAAAAACCCTAACCACTTTGTTTCGAAATAAAAATCGGGTTGACATCAGAACCCAAGGTCAGGTCGATGTTAATGTTTAACGTCCAACCTAAAAATCAACCAAAATTTCAAAGTTTAATGATGTTACAGCTTGAGGTTGTGTGGACGTTACCACTATGAAGTCTATCAGATGTTGGATTTTGGTTGCCTTACCTGATGAATAAATGCCAGTATTTGACGACAATATGACGTTGGTTTAAGATGTAGACTCCACATTGGATTTTGGACACTTTCAAACAAAACCTAAATACTTAGACACTAGCTAGACATTGAATTTTGGTCACCTGACATCACACCCTAAATATAACCTAATAACTTCTTAAGAAATTGTGTGCCTGCTGGGAAATCACAACAGAATGTTACGTTTACACACATCCACAAATACAAGTAATTCATCAGCTTTTTACAGCGCAATACTCACTACTCTTGAGTACTTTTGAAGGGAATACTTTTTACTCATACTTTGAGTAATATTTACAACAGATACTCTACTTGTACTACATTTTTAGGCAATAGTACTTTTACTTAAGTATGAGTTTTTTTGTACTCTTTCCACTACTGCAGTTATTATATAGTAAATAAGTTTAAGTTATATAATATATAGTATATAATAAGTTGAATAGTTTTCTTTGGAAGAATGCATTATTTTGTAGTGACTAGGGTGATTTTGTAGCGTAGTGCATCTACATGAAATTAAATAAACAAAATATGAGTACAGATAAAAACAATAGAACAAAGATACACAATAAACATTATTTTGTTTTTCTGGGGCGAAGTATTTAGCAAAAGAAATTGAGTAATAAACTGTAAAATAACACTTTACAGTAATCACTGCACAAGTTAAATACATATTTTTTTCATTAAAGTTATAAACAGGATCATTTAATGAGCCTAAAAGCTTTAAAATGGCTTGGGATGTTTAAAAAATGAGCAAATGACAAACTTTCACTCAGCTGTGGTTAAACTTTGCAGCTACCACAAGTCACGTGTTCCAAAATGTGGTGCCTCGTTAATTATGATTCCTACTCGACATCATAAATCATGAGATGTTGCATATTGCAGTGTTAATGTTGATATATTATGCAGCCCTGATGGACTGACAAAAAAGTTCAAACATAGCATGGTAAATTAGAAACAGAAGGCTTTAAAAAAACAGATGATACTAACCTTAACGTAGGTCCTCTCAGTGTCCACCAGCTCACTGATGACCTTGCGGAGTTTATCTGCGTCAGAGAGCTGGCGAGGGGTGAAAAGACCAGGCAGTGGAGAGATTGGGCTGGGCATGCAGGATGAAGATGAGGAAGAAGTGGAGGAAGATGAGGAACAGGAGACGGGACCCTCGTTGGAATTCATATCATGAAGGTTGCGGCAGAAGGCGGTCACCTGCTCTGTACTCTGTGGAGGGAAACAGATCGTTCAAATTAACTCTAGGACAAAGGACAAGATTTTTAAGAACTGCCATTAATGTTCTCCGCATTTTTTTTATATGTGTGAACATTATAGAAAAGGGCTGTATCTGAAATCACCTTCTAAATAGTGCACTACACCGTGTCTCAAAAAAAACAACAACAACAAAAAAACGAGCAACAATATATCATACAAAAATTAAAGTAATACTGGTTATCGTACTACAAGAATAAGAATGACTCCATTTCGTACAGGAATAACAGCACAATCTGTGCATTAGCCTATTGCTTTTATTTACAGTACATTTCAATGATGTAATGATGGCATAATGATGGCGCATTTATTTTTAGCTAGGCCTAAAGGCTAAAATAAAAATGCTGTTTCCCAATGAAGATAAGAGTTTGATCAAAGGTTTACAAGAACTTTACGTTTTCTTTGTGAATTTCCGACTAAAAACTGGAGAAAACGTGGATTGGATTACTTGCTGGCAAATATTGATTGCACTTGATCAGTATGTCGGGTGGCGAGTTGTTGTCCATGCTCATACTTTTGAGAATATCACCACTGTCAAAGTCATGGTACTGAGCCAAAAAGCCACAGACCCATCGCACTGTCCAACAAATTGCACGGGAGTCTATCAATTAATGACTCTGATATGTTAACGCTGCTTTGTTTCTGTGCCTGCTAATTTAGTTTGCAAGTAATAAAATTGTAGCGTTCTATCAATATTTGGGTTATTATTTAACAAGGTAATGTTGTGATATAAATCAGATGAGGTGGAAAACGTATACATATCATACAATTTCATCTATTTGCTAGATAATTAAAAAATACAATTATTTACAATTATACAATTAATAATTCTGATAGAATTAATTTTGTTTGGATTTTTCAAGATGCTTTGATGGAGCAGGCATTTATTGTGCTCTCCTGAACCAAAGTGGATGTTCTAAACTCAATCAATCCCACAATGCACTGTAAAAACGATTGTACAACCCATGTACACCCAACAACTGAGTGCTCCTATTCACTCACTCATTTTCATTCAATCTTTCAAAGGGACTATATTAGTGGACTAATGTAATGAATAAGGGTATCACAATCAATTTTGGATAGATATCAGCAGACTTTCAAGTAATTCCAAACATAAGCTCAAACAGAAACACTGATGCACTAAAAATTAAAACAATATTTGTTCTAAAATTGACTCAAATCACCGTGATTGATATTTTCAGACAGGATAAAACCATCCTTTTGACAACACAAATAAATAATAATGTGCAAATAAATAAATAAATGAAATAAGTTTCCCACACAGGCTATAAAGTTTTTAATTGTAAAATTACAACTGTGAAAATGACTAAAATGTATTATGATAACAGTGCAGTAGCTGGAAATATCACTTTACAATTAACAAAATCTAATCGTACATATATATATATATAGTATATATAGTATACACACACACACACACACACACACACACACACACACACACACACACACACACACACACACACACACACACACACACACACACACACACACACACACACACACACATATATATATATATATATATATATATATATATATATATATATATATATTTACCATGATGACTAAAAACCCCCTTAAAAATGTCATTCAGTGCAACAATAGTTTATTATTCAAAAATCTTGCCTGGTTTATTTAGCATATACTGTATATAATTAAATTATGTGTTAAACATGTGCTATTATATTAAGAGAATCATAGTGCCAACCCAAAATGTAATTTTAAACCTTTAAAACTGCCAAAGATTCATGAAAGTGACATATCAGTAGAATTACAGTGGAATAAGCATTACTATATTTTTAGATAACTCCCTGGCAGATCTGGTAAATATTTTGCCAGGTTGTCTTGGGCACTAAAAGTTTACATTATAAATCAACAAACCCAATAAAATCAAAACTCACAAGGTGAAACCTTTACAACCTTTAATAAGTCTCGATCATATAAAAACACCAGCAGCAGGTAGGCACACACCCACACAGGTACTCTGAAAATTCAGGAGAAGCATTTCCAGTTCCAAACACATGCATTCAGCGAGTTTCTGGCTGAACTCTAAAAACAAGGCACATCATGCTTTATGGATGGCTGGATGACATGTAATTACAAGAGTCTTTGTGGTAATAACTTTAAGATGGTCTAGATCTGAGCTCTGAAAGGAACAGTTCGTCTCTTTGGGAAATCTGGCACTAGGAGGATTTTTCCATCAAGAAATGTGTCAACAAGTTTTCAGAAAGAACATTCTGCTCTAAGACAAGTTTATGTTGCCTTCCCACCCTTTCAAAAAATGCCCAAACACAGCCCTCCTAAATTAATGTAATAAAAAGACAGATTACACAACACACATTCATTTGCATCATCTAGCTTCCGAATACCTAAATAAAAACAATTAGCATCCATCTAAAAGGCACAAACCTGTCCAAAACAAACAGGTTTCAATCCAAAGATCTTCAAGCCCACATCTGAAGGTTTAAAGCAAGAGTTTTGGGGATCATCAGCGTGATGTTCAGGAGGAAGTGGAACAGATTCACTCAGACAGGAGGAGCAGAGGACAGATGGGGCTTCTAGCAGCATGAATTCCCCTCTGATAAACACACAGTGACGGACTGACAAAAAGCCTGCACACCATGACATGCCTTAACTGGCCTGGACAGCCTGTAGAGAGGTGGAGCAACGCAGGGAGGTAGAAATGCAGTGCTTTGGTGTTTTTTTTTCCAGGTTAAAGACAACATCTGTCCCATGTAGAAATCTGATTATGACTATATGCAAATGACATATATAACATACAAATTCATGTTTGGATTTTACATATAAAATATGTCATTCCAAAAGTTTGCCAAAATTGCCACTTGCATGTGTTTTTTTTTCCCCAACCATTATAATTACAATGATGTACTGTACATGTAGGTTAAATATATTAGCTACAATTTCCGTTTGAGGTGGCATGTTGTGGATCACCAATGACAATTAATTATTGTTGTTCCTTGTACTGTAAAAAAACAGTACTGCACTTGTAATTTAAGCCTACAGGGCAAGTTTTCCAGCTGGTTTTGAAAGTAAGGTGTATCTTAAAAATGCATGACCTGAAACCTGATCTAAATCAACCTTCTGAGAAAAGACCTTTCAAAGATGATGAATTTCTGATTATGTGCTATAAAACCTTTTTGTGATATTTTACAAGTACAAAACGGTCTATTGTCTGTTGAACACTGAAGCATACTGAAGTACACCTTGCATAAAATTCACACAATTTGCTAAACCAATTGGAACCGTCTGTGAAATTTGTGTGGAAAAATTTTTCATCTTCACACAAATTTTTGATTAGGTGGATTCCTATTAAAACTACATCTCACCTGTTTCAAGTACACCAAGTACATCTTTTGCGGAGGGACTATCTTCTAGGCAGATCAATGTTTGCTTATGTGATGCCTTTTTTGTCATTTGTTTTTAGGCTACAAATGTAATGTAAATGTAAGGATGATTTGCATGTAATTTGTGGAAGTGTGTAAACGTAACATTTTGTAGTGCATTTAATTATTGCCCAGCAGGCACACAACATCATAAGACGTTAATATTAGGTTAGATTTAGGTCGTGGCATCAGGTGACCAGGTGACAAAATGTCTAGCCAGCATCTAAGGACAACTTTATTTTGATGTCCAATAACAACGTCAAATGACATTGATATTTGGTTGATTTCAGGTTGTGCCAGCCTGATCTCACGAGAAAACGTAAGTATTTTACGTTTTGCCAGTTTAGTGGCTAATTCGTACGAATTCGTAAGAGTTCAGTCGTACGAAATGGTACGATTTTAAAAAGGAGGCGTGGCACCTGACCCCACCTCTAACCCCAACCGTCATTGGGGGATAAGCAAATCGTACTAAATTGTACGAATTAGATCGTACGAATTCATACGAATTAGCCACTAAATGAAAAAGTTACGAATTGCCGTGAGATTGTGTTGGTTGTGCTGGAAAGTGACCCAAATCTAACTTGAAACCAACATCTTAAACCAACGTCATATTGATGACAAATATTGACATTTATTTGTCATGTATTGCAACCAAAATCCAACATCTGATAGATATCTTAGTGATAAAGTACACACAGCGTCAAGCTGTAACATTGTTACATTTTCGGTTGATTTTCGGTTGGACATTTTACATTGCTTTTGGCCTGACATTGGGTTCTGATATCAACCCGTTTTTCATTTCGAAACAAAATGCAACATCCCCATGACATTGGGGTACATTGTCAATCTGATGTCATGTTGACATCCTGTGCCTGCTGGATGTTTAAGGACATTTCTAAACAGCATCTAAACAGTCTCTGGGTCAATGCGTGCAAAGATTTTAGACATCTTGGACACTTTTAATGCTTCCAAACTGTTGGCTGCAATTATAAATCGCCAATAGTTCATTATGATGTGATTTACCTTCTCTGTGATTGGACAGGAATCACAAGACAAATTTTTCTTTAAATAATAAACATTTATTGCAAAGCATTTTCGATTTTAGCATCCAGAATTTTTATTTTAGCCCAGAATTCCCTAATAGAATCGTCTTTATGTAAGATTTAGATACATCGTCACCTTTGGTCCTATCTGACATTTTTGTCAAAATTGAGTTATTGACTCATTATTATATTATTTATTTAAAAAACAAATGTTACACACATACTGTTTGCTATGGAATGCAAAACTTTGAAGCTCAATAGCTCAAAATCATTCAGAACGCAGATAGAACCTTATAATTCCAAGGTAAAGATATGTCTCTTTAAAAAAACAAGTAAAAGTAGCCAACTGGCAGACTACAAGCATTCCTTTTTCAGATAGAGACCAATACCAAGTACTATAGATGTAAACAGTATACACATGCAGCTTAAGTTTACATTTAGCGTTTTAGCTTCATCAAAAAAGGCAATTTTGAGGTAAAACCTT